TTCTCCTGACCCAAACCCAATAAAACATCTTCAGTACCAACTCTCCAATACCATCAGCTGGGGAAAACTGTGGGCTGGCAGCAGTGAATTTAGAAATGGCTAAATCCCCCCTTTCCTCCAGCAATTAAACCAGAGCTCTTAAATGCTTACTGCCTACAATTTAAGAAGGACCTTTATCAAAAGCCCTCTGAATAGGTAAGTACTATAAACCTATCATATATTATGTCATATCCCATCAAGCCTTCTTAACTCAAATTGTAAGACTTTGTTCTGGGCTCTGCCTGTATAGTTTCAAAATATGCTTAACAGCATACCATATTCTGATCACAGGCCATGAACAGTTCTCTAACCCGTTTCCCTTACTCTATCTTGATCATTTTCTACGCGGTGGTATGCTGTGGCTCTGGGATAAGATCACTGGATTCTAACAGGCTGAACAAGCTCATCAGGAGAGCAAGCTATGTCACTGGGTCTGGCCTGCCCTGCAGGTAGTGGCTGAGAGGAAAATGGTGTCCAAACTAGAGGCCATCATGGACAACGTCTCCCATCCCCTCTATGGCATGCTTGTGGAAACGAAGAGCACGTTCATCAATAGACTGATCGAACCACGGTGCGACAGGGAGCGCTACAGGAGGTCATTCTTGCCTTCTGCCATAAGACTGTACAATGCATCCCCTTTGTGTATGGGCAGGGGCAACATTGACAGTGACCTGTTTCTGGACTGAACAGTAAACTGATACGTCTGTTCTTTTTCTTTTTCCCCCATTTACAACCATTTTTGTGCAACAGATGCCAGGGACTTGTACAATACATTTAAATTTATATTGTGCAATACGACTTATTTTTTGTGTACTGTTCTGTTTTGTTCTTTGTGTGTTCTGGACTGTGAGTAACTCTTCTTAGTGCTCTTCTCACTGTACTGACTGTATTGTACGTATTGTATTATTATTATTGTATCATTCGTTACACTGTTGCTGTGTTAAGCTGCTGTTGCACTGCAATTTCCCTCACGGGATCAATAAAGTATCTATGTATGTATGTAAACATTTTTAATATTAGAACACAAAGGCAAAGTATAAGTTTTGCCTTAACATATAATACCATCATAATTCTAACACTTGAGGGTCTGACTGATGTAAGTCTAGTTTTCAAGAACCCTTGATTCATCTAGAATAGGTTCCTGTGCTCACATGCCTTTTCTGATTAATGATATAAGCCCTCTACCCCTTCCTTCTTTCCAGTCTCTCTGGAAAACTACAGTACAGTGTGTATCCACTAATACTGCAGTTTTCACCAATGTCCCCTATTTAGCCATATGTAATTTACAAGTTTCATTTACAACATAATCACATTCCTGTGAAGTAGCTTTGATTTTTTGTGTTTCCTTCCTTTGTGAATCCTCCTTGTATTCAGGTAAACAGAAGCAAAAAATATTTGTGAACCTTCAATATAGTTGTGGGATATTACGATTTCTTACCATGATACTCTTATTTATTCCAAATTCTCTTAACTAAAAGGTCTTATATTTACCGAGTCAATGTTTTTGAGGAGGAATGGTTTACACTCTAGAAAAAAATAATTAAGAATCAGTGTAAGTGAAATCAATGAACCCCTAATTCACTTAGCACAATTAAGGGAGTAGTTGGAGGAAGGTATTTAAATAATTGAGTAACAATTAAACATAGACTGAGTCTGAGCACCCCTGACCTACATAATGGTCAGATGTTTTTGCGAGACAGGTATGCACCACATAGGTTAGTGGAAAGAGGTCATGCCACGATCAAAAGAGATTATAGAGGACCGCAGAAAAAGAGTAGTTGATGCTCTGCAGTCTGGAGAGGGTCCAGACATTTGGGGTTACATCCATTCATCTATTGTGAGACTGCAAATGAGAAATATTAAGAACCACGCTGGCTCTATCCAGAAGCGACAGTCAAGCGAAGGCCTACCCAAGTAAGTTTAAAATTCAGTCTTAATTGTTTAAAAGGGAAGCACAATGCTATTTTTATATCTAAAGGTTAGAAAGAAGTAGCATTGATGAGTGCATTTCAAACCACAATGAAAGTAAAATGTACACAGTAATGTGTAAAACCTCTAATTTACTTCTCAAAAATAGACTAAATTTCCAGATCTGCGCAGCTCCATATTCTGAGATTCAGAGTGAGGCAACGTAATTTCCGGTGATGTGCTGCAACTATTACGTTGTAAAGAAGCAGGCTTGTAAATACATCTCATTTAATCCAATACAAATATTGCTTTCGACTTTGAAACTGTCTTGCCTAAAAATACAATGCAGAAAATGTGGTTATTAAATCAGTTAAAAACAAATCGGGACTGCAGTTGCCCATTGAGCTTATAAATATGACCAAAGATCATTAATCAAAAAAGTGGTACTAATTGTTACTTCAAGCTAAACTCATTCTCTGATAAAACATTAAGCTAGTCCTTTTAGAACACAAATACTTAACACCAGCAAACCACTCTGAGAGAATTATTTTCTTTGCTTTTCTGAGGATAAAGAATAGGGCAAAGTAGGCCACAACTCAGAATAAACTGGCGGCACAAGTAAAAAGGAGGAACTGGGCAGAGAGATGAGAAGACAGGGCTGACACAGCTCTTTCTACAGACGACAAAACCACACCTGTTCAGGTAATCTGAACTCTAGAAGCAAATGGTACTTTAAGACAGGGATTTGTTGTCTTTTATTGTTGGAAAACACTCCTTCCCAATTGTGGAATCCACTGGCTAAAAGACTTGTCTCATGTGTTAGCAATGCACTACTTTGGAATAAAGAAATAGGTTCTCATTCATTTAATATCCTTTAAAGAGAATTAATTAGTCCTTGTTTAGGCCTAATTAAAAAGACTAATAAACAAGAGAATCCCTTGTTTAACAGGCATGCAGATTCCCCCTGCTGATTTAAGGTGTTTTGGGTCTCAATAATAGGGAAAGAATTCTATACATATTCAATACAGAGCTCTGGGACTCACAGATTTGTACAGTAAATACCTGCATATAGAATGAAACTTTATGTTGTACAAGTTTGTCTTATTGTGTATAAACATTTGTATTGCTTAGGCTTGCCACCTATTTATTACTATACTATCAAACTGTGCTGGAGAAGTAAAGAACAAAGATGTAACACTGGATACTACATAACTATACAGAGTGAAATTATTATTAATCTTTATAATTTGCGCATACTACACAGCAAGATGGTGTCAGGACTTGATTCCCTTCTTACTGAACAAATCCTTTTTGTACATTTTCACCACCCCCTTAATCAGTATTTTTTAATGAATTTGCAAGTATCCCGGACAACTGAAAACACTGCATGGAGATCTAAAGCATGCAAGCATACAGTAAAACGTTACTTGACAGGGTGCCTGATGGTGCTAACCTGAAAGAAGCCGTGTTGCAGGTGACAGGGACATCACTGCCATTTAACTGGGACAGATGTACCGACAGTTGCTTTTCACTTCCCATTAACCCACAAATGAGAAGAAATATTTGTGGAGAATTCGATTCCAAACAACAGATCACTACATAACGCTAGTCAAAACAAAACCATCTGGAGTGAAGTACACAGAAAACAATTTTCACATATCTCAGGTCAACATGGGGAAAAAATAAATACATTTCCCATACCCCAACTAGGACTGTTTAAAGATTAAATAATTAGATTAAATAGCACAAATTATTGAGATAGTAACGAAAAATGACACTTTTTT